AACTGAGGTGGAGGAAGGGCTTGGGTCCCAATGGATCAAGGATTTCATACATTACCATAGTTCATGAGGTCTGCTATGTTCCTGAGGTCTGTATGCAGTCTGGTGCAGCCTTCCCTTCTGTTGCTGTTCCAAGGTCAGTTGTATTAACTAACTATATTTTCATGCCATATGTGGTTTTGGGAGGAGTACTTGGTCTCACCTCTCTTGCTGCTCTCTTGAATCTCCCCTCTCTGTCTTATTACATTCAAAACCATGTATATTTTGAAAATACAGCAAATACAACTATTCCTAAAAGAGAGACCATAAGATACACTCAACAGCCAGGATGCATCTACATCTGCAAGAACTCAGCATCTCATGAAAATGGTAAGATGCAAAGCTGTGACCCAGTGGGACCTGAGCACTTCCCCCACCCCAGCTTACCAGCAGGAGGGAAAGAATCAGAGTGGGGAAGGAGTGGAAGCACAGGAATGCTAAATAACATGACCTAATAATGTGCACCAGGAGCACAAAAACACATTGCATGGTGTACTGGATATTAGAGAAATGGAAAAGTAAAGTCCGAGGCAGATTGCAAACAGATCCCCACAGCCGGCTCCCCTGGAACAAAATAAAAGTGGGTGCTTTAAAAGGACAAGGGTTTAAATGGTGAACAAAATCATCCCGGCACACTCAGCTGGGAATCTTAAGGAACTTCAGTCACCCTAACTGCCTGGGTGGCAGTGCAGCTCTGAAGCCCCTCATGACAATAAGAAGCCTGACATTCATTCCTACCTGCTGTCACTGCAAGCAAACCAGCTGACCTGCCACTGCTGCAGACCAGCTAGGGAGCACCCCCAACCACAGCAACCACACAGAGTCTTCTCCCAGCACACAGCTAACTGGGCCAGACCTAGAGGCTGCCACTAGGGTGCAGCTGCCTGGCACAGGCAGAGGAAGCCAGCAAAAAGTGCAGAAGGCACAAAGGGGAGCCAGTCTTACAGGAGAACACACCTGGGCTGCCAGAGAACCCAGGCAGTGCACTAGGCCATACCAAGGGCTGCTCCACCCATGGCAGCTCAGGGAATTAACCCAGAGCCTGCTCCCTGTGTGTGGGTAACCAGAACAGGCAGTGGAGAAGGGCAAGGCAACCAGCAAGCAGGAAGAGACTTGGTTCTCCCAGCTGACAGACACATCACTTGCCAGGGATCACTTCTATCATCATGAAAAGAAAGAAGAACCTGGTCCAGTACAAAATCACTCAAACAATGCCAGAGAGCAGGCCTGGTGAGATAGGTAGAACCAATCTTCCTAGAAAAGAATTCAAAATAAAAGTCATAACCATGCTGGAAAACAAGGATTAAAGATGGGGGCATGAGAGGTGAGACAGAGGCTTCCTCCTAAAACTGTATATAATATGAAAATATAATTAATACAACTAATCCTGAAAGAGCAACAGGAAAGACAGCCTCAGACTCCATACACCTGGAGAAAAAAGCAGACCTCACAAAACAGGGAAGCATACCAAAGCTCTGACTTGGTGTGACCCAACCCCTCCCCCACCCCAGCTCATCAGCAGAAGGAAGAGAAACAGAGTGGGGAGGGAGTGGAGGCCTGGGACTGCTGAATGCCTAACTCTGGAGATCTGCTCTGGGAACACAAACCCACATTTCATGGTGCTTGCATGGTACTCTCATGATTAGGGGGTTGGAAAGCTAAGACAGGCAGAATTCCTGGAGAGACTGATATTCCAGCCACTGGTGGAAAGCAGGGATCCATATCCAGCAGCTCTGGGACAAAAGAAAGGTGGGAAGTCTGAGAGACTTCCTAAAAAGGAAGCCCTTAGGAAGAGGCCTGCTAAAGGGGCAAGGATTGCACAGAGCTTACTGCTTAGGAGAAAAAACAGGTAGGCAAAATTGTCTGCTTGCACTCTGACCAGCAGGTTGGGAACTTTCATGATCTTCAGTTGCTCCAGCTCCCTGGCTGTCTACACAGCTCCAAGGACTTCCTCCATGATATGTAGCATACTGAAATTTCTGCCAGCCAGCCCCACCTGGCTTCCAAACTGGCAATCCCTACCCTGGTGTTGGGCCAGCCAGCAAGAACATCTGTCTACAGCAACTACAAACACAAAGCATAGAGACTTATACCTGTGTGTTCACCAACTAGTTCAGGCAGTGGACACAGGCATGGTGGCCAGGAAGCAGGAAACAGCTCTTTTCTCCCCCAAGGCATGAATACCACGCCCCTACGACCACTGACATTGCTTCAGAGGCTAAGCAGCTCCAGAGAGAAGAGCTTCTGGACACTACAGGGTGCCATATACAAATTTGAAATGCCTAAGGAACCTGGTTCAAAATAAAATTATTAATACAACTCCTGACAAAGATTTAAATGACATCGACCTCATGAATCTTCCTGAAAGGGAGTTCAAAATAGAAATCACTAACATGCTCATGGAGGTACAGAAAGATATTCAAGAACTCAGGAATGAATTCTGGTTGGAGATCCAATCATTGAAGAGCACATTGGAGGGTATTAAAAGCAGATTAGATATGGTAGAGGAGACTATAAATAAAATAGAAACTAGAGGACAGAAATAAAAAGAAGGTGAGGCACAGAGAGAAAAAAGGATACCTAAGAATGAAAGAATATTGAGAGAACTGTGTGACCAATCCAAACAGAACAATATTCACATTATAGGGGTACCAGAAGAAGAAGAGAGAGAAAAAGGGATAGAAAGTGTCTTTGAGGAGGTAATTTCTGAAAACATCCCCAATCTGGGGAAGGAGATAGTCTCTCAGGCCATGGAGATGCACAGATCTCCCAACACAAGGGAACCAAGAAAGACAACACGAAGACATATAAAAATTAAAATGGCAAAGATCAAGGATATGGACAGACTATTAAAAGAAAGCAGAGAGAGAAATAAGATCACATACAAAGAAAAGTCCATCAGGCTATCATCAGACTTCTCAGCAGAAACCTTACAGGCCAGAAGGGAGAGGAATAATATATTTAATGCAATGAGGCAGAAGGGCTTCAAACCAAGATTACTTTATCCGGCAAGGTTATCATTTAAATTTGAAGGAGGGATTAAACAATTTTCAGAAAAGCAAAAGCTGAGGAAATTTACCACCTGCAAACCATCTCTACAGTGTATTTTGGAGGGACTGCCCAGGGCAAAATACCTCTAAGAACCAAAATCTGTCAAAGGGAGAAATAAAGTTTAAAACTCCTTTATTGCTTACAAAACTGCAGTCTGGCCCATCTCTCTCTACTGCTCCAGCAGCAGCAATACTAGCCTTCCCCCTCACCTCTCAGGTACAGATAAGCCCTCCTTGCCTGGGTAATTACCCATTGATATGGAGATGAACTTCTCTCCACCCCTGAGGAATGATGCAAATACACTAAAGCCGTACCACTTTCCACCTCTGAATACCTATTGATATGCAGATGTACTAAAGCCAGTAGAGATATTCTGGAAATGTTACAATTTTACCCATACACACCCAGACCACAGAGCAGGACAGAAGCCATATTGCAAGCCATGCATGGGATAAAGAAGAGGGAAAGACCCAGAGGAGTCAAGAAATGGTCAAAGTTGGAGACCAGTGAGTGACTGCAAGGCAGGAGAGGCAGTGCTGGGAGCACAGGCCCAGAGGAGGGAAGACACTGTGACGGACAGACAGACCCAGAGCAGCACTAGCCCACAGTGCCATATGACAGGAGGGTGGAGACAGAGAGAGCCCACAGATGGCCACACAAGGGAGACAGTGGTCCCAAGGCAGGACCATAGCAGCCTGAACAGCAGCATGCATTCAGCACAAGGCCAGGGGGCAGCCCACCCAGAAAGTAAGCAAGGCCTCACTGCAAGAGCACTGTATTCCTACTTCAAAAGCAACAAGCCATGAGTGTCCCAGCCCTGGACGGACTCTAGTTCCCAGTACTGGAAACAGGCAGCTGGAGATGGGTTGGCTTGTTTGGCCCTGACCAGTCCAGTTGGCATGTTGGACATAATCTCTTAATCATGATGCTTCTCTCTTAGGTCTTTCTCAGTGAAATCATTTCTGCAAGGTGCTTTCTATCCTCAAATCTCTTACCTGTTTTGCTCTGTGGACTCTCTCAGAAATAGAAAGACATGAAACAAACCATCCATTTGTGCTAAATTCTCTTCAGCTTGTGGGGATTTGTAGACTTACTTTTATCCCTGGCATCTATCTATTGCCCCATCTATCTAATGCATCAATAAAACCTTCCTAAGTAACTGAGCTCTGTGTCCCATTCAGTCCCTATTGACATAATGGGCTAAAGGCAGTGATGATGAACTGGACATGGTCCCTACCTTTGAAGATCATCTAGTTGAGAAAATATTTCATGGGATTCCAGGAGTTGTAACGAGTCAAAAAAGGGGGACATTATAGTTTTATACATGGCAGAGATGGATCAGGAAAGGTTTCCAGCAGAAGAGGCTTTTTTCTATAATGGCCTTAAAGGACAAGTAGGTTTTAGGTAGGTAAACTAGTCTCCATCTTTCATTACCTGTAATTCTAGAGTGTTAAGTCTCTGTTTACCTGTAAGGTCACATAGGAAGGCTGACTTAAGGTTACATGGAAGAAGGCTGGCAGGGGCCCTTCAGGGGATGGATGAAATGCATGTGATCCCAGGAACTGAGACAGGAGTCAGAGCTCTGAGCCTCCCTCCCCAACCTCCTCATCCATGTCAGTTATAACCTCTCATGATATCTCATCTGCTGGATATGAATAAGTTAGGGAGTAAAACAACACCAGCCTATTTAAAAAATCACCTTAGGAGTGGTTTTTAAAATACAGATTTGTAAACATAACTCTAGAGGTGCTGAGTCCAAAAGTTTGGAGTGGAGCTTATGAAAACTGTTTAGAAACTTCATAAGGACTTCTGCTTCTGGCAGTATGGCAGACTAGATACTTTGAAGGGCCTCCCACAACAGAATAATTAGATTCTACATAAAACATATTTTTCTTTGCATTTTTGTCTTACAGGAAGTAAGGAAAATCTCCAAGGAGAAAATAAAATGTGTTAGGCTGAATAACAACTCCACAAAAGATGCCCATGTCCTAATCCCAGGAACCTGTAGGTATGTTACCTTATATGATAAAAGGGACTTTGCAGATATGATTAAGCATTTTGAGATTATTCTGGATTATCTGGGCGGCTCCAGTGTAAATCACAAGGGTCCTAGTAAGTATAAGGCACAGACTCTGTCAAAAGGCAAATATAATCAAGCTTATATCAAGAGAAAAAAACGGAGTTTCTATAGTATTGTAAAAGTCATGCAGTTAGAAAACGGCAGAAGTAGGACTAAACCCAGATCTTTTGGATATAAACTTAGTGACTGATCAAACCTCAAAGAGAAAAAAGGGCATGTGCAGATTTACCCAAAAGGATTGGGAGAAAGTCACAGAGTGGCCCTTCCAATCCCACCTCTGGCCCTAACAGGAGATTCTAACTGTGGAAGCATGGAGCCCATTGACACCTTGGAATAGACCATTCTTAGGACCACTGTTCCCAGGGAGCTTCCAGAATGGAGAAAGGGGTTACTCTGTAAAAATGGGGAAAATGTGAAGGCATACATGGCTCTGAAAGAGAAGTCAACCAACAGTGAAACCAAGGAAAGGTGAGAGCAGGCAGCCCACCCCCTCTTACCTCCTGTATCTTGCTGGATGGATCTGTAAGCTACAGTGAGATTCCCCCCAAAGTTCTAGGTATAAATGGAGATTCCTTATAAATGTAAAATGTTGGAAGGGATCAAATCAGAGATATATTCACAGTCAACCTTAAAAAGAAACAATAGTGTCCAAGCTAACAGAATGAAGACTCAAACCTTAATTTAATATACTAACCTTTTATTCATAAGGGAGAGGGGTTATTCATCCAAATGTAGGAAAGGGGTGTCACAGAGGCCAATGAGGCTGGATCCATAACAGCAGCCTGTGTCTATGCAGGAGGACCAAGTCCCTTGGAGGGTTCTGTGGTGGTGACAGAGATCTGCAGGTGAAAGCCTGGAAGCCAGCACCCCCAAAGCAGAGGACTACCCCCTCCTCTGAGTCTGTGATCATCAGCCTCTGATCATGGCGTGCCATCCATGTGGGAGGAAAGGCACAGCCCAGTGGACACGCATGACCACTCCTTCCTACAGTTACGTTTTCTGTTGTGAACTGATGAACTGAAATCATGACTTACCAGTCCCAGTTTCTGGGCATGGCAGATATGAGTCTCCCTCATAAGGAGGATCTACCCTCACAGTGGTTCAGAGCCTGGGGACCTGTGAGAGGTCCTGACCCCTGTGACCACAGGGCATTCACTGAGGTAATCAAGATGCTCTATCCTGTAGAGGAATGCAGGGAACAGGGCTGAGCCACCCAGTTTTCGTAGAAACTATGTGAGGCTAACATTCCTGGACCCTGCCCTAAGTTAGATAACTAGAAGCCAGAAACTACATGAGGCTAACATTCCTGGACCCTACCCTAAGTTAGATAACTAGAAGTAAATGACCCCCCTGGGGTCGAAACTCGTGATAAGTCACATAGGAATGCTTGTGCAAAGGTCAGGCACCTGGTGTATCCCTGTTCCAATTTTATTGGCCAAAGTATAGAATGTGTTTCAAATTCATTGGTTGGGGTAATGTGCAGGCTCTGGTGCAATGACTGTAGAAATCCCATATAAACCATACCTAAAGTTGCTTGGGGGTTGGCAGCTCAGACTCGGCCTGCATGTCAGGGGAGGTGCTGTCAACCCCAGCTTGCTGGCTGAATAAAGACTTTGCTTGGATTTTCATCTCCGTGTCCGTGTGTCTTGTTCTCTGGGAAACCCAGGAGTCCTGGACCCTAACAATCCTGATCATGTTCCTCCTCTTAGGATTTACTGGCCTTTCTCAAACATTTTTTCTTGTTGTATTTAGGTAGGCATATTTTATTTATTTATTTTTTATTAAGGTATCATTTATATACTCTCTTATGAAGGTTTCATATGAAAAACATTGTGGTTACTACATTCACCCATATTATCAAGTCCTCCCCAGACTCCACCGTTGTCACTGTCAATCAGCGTAGTAAGATGCCACATGCTGGAGTCCAGCTCCCATGAGGGGTGGGTTGCCCAAAAGGATGAGGCAGAGTCAGCACATGGAGAGACAGGACGCGGAGTCAGTTGGAGGAGGTCTCTCAACAAAGTGCCAATGACATCTTTATTTATACGTTTTGAATATGTGATTATTTTTTATTTATACTTTTGATTAACAAGCATAGGTAAGCTCTTTTCTTTCTATTTCCTTCTAATCTATACATGATTAGCCAAGTGTCAGACAGGTGACCTTTTCCTGTTCCTTGACCTAAACTTTTCTTAGCAACATGTACTCTATTGTGTTTCTCATTTCTATGCAAAGTGGTTTCTAAGTAATGCATATGACCACAGAAGTGTGCGGCATGTAGCAGTGACTATGGAGTCTATCAGCTCTGGGTGAAGTACTGGTCACCCACTGACACAGTTAGCTAGGCAGGTATCATCATCTATATTTCTAATGCAATGGGTACATTTTATCCCCTCATAATATTTATTCTATTGTGCCTTCCAAACCCTTTGTTCTGCCCCCATCTACAGGCACCATGCTCATTTTCTTCACTTAAAAAGATGCCCATGTCCTAATCCCAGGAACCTGTAGGTATGTTACCTTATATGATAAAAGGGACTTTGCAGATATGATTAAGCATTTTGAGATTATTCTGGATTATCTGGGCGGCTCCAGTGTAAATCACAAGGGTCCTAGTAAGTATAAGGCACAGACTCTGTCAAAAGGCAAATATAATCAAGCTTATATCAAGAGAAAAAAACGGAGTTTCTATAGTATTGTAAAAGTCATGCAGTTAGAAAACGGCAGAAGTAGGACTAAACCCAGATCTTTTGGATATAAACTTAGTGACTGATCAAACCTCAAAGAGAAAAAAGGGCATGTGCAGATTTACCCAAAAGGATTGGGAGAAAGTCACAGAGTGGCCCTTCCAATCCCACCTCTGGCCCTAACAGGAGATTCTAACTGTGGAAGCATGGAGCCCATTGACACCTTGGAATAGACCATTCTTAGGACCACTGTTCCCAGGGAGCTTCCAGAATGGAGAAAGGGGTTACTCTGTAAAAATGGGGAAAATGTGAAGGCATACATGGCTCTGAAAGAGAAGTCAACCAACAGTGAAACCAAGGAAAGGTGAGAGCAGGCAGCCCACCCCCTCTTACCTCCTGTATCTTGCTGGATGGATCTGTAAGCTACAGTGAGATTCCCCCCAAAGTTCTAGGTATAAATGGAGATTCCTTATAAATGTAAAATGTTGGAAGGGATCAAATCAGAGATATATTCACAGTCAACCTTAAAAAGAAACAATAGTGTCCAAGCTAACAGAATGAAGACTCAAACCTTAATTTAATATACTAACCTTTTATTCATAAGGGAGAGGGGTTATTCATCCAAATGTAGGAAAGGGGTGTCACAGAGGCCAATGAGGCTGGATCCATAACAGCAGCCTGTGTCTATGCAGGAGGACCAAGTCCCTTGGAGGGTTCTGTGGTGGTGACAGAGATCTGCAGGTGAAAGCCTGGAAGCCAGCACCCCCAAAGCAGAGGACTACCCCCTCCTCTGAGTCTGTGATCATCAGCCTCTGATCATGGCGTGCCATCCATGTGGGAGGAAAGGCACAGCCCAGTGGACACGCATGACCACTCCTTCCTACAGTTACGTTTTCTGTTGTGAACTGATGAACTGAAATCATGACTTACCAGTCCCAGTTTCTGGGCATGGCAGATATGAGTCTCCCTCATAAGGAGGATCTACCCTCACAGTGGTTCAGAGCCTGGGGACCTGTGAGAGGTCCTGACCCCTGTGACCACAGGGCATTCACTGAGGTAATCAAGATGCTCTATCCTGTAGAGGAATGCAGGGAACAGGGCTGAGCCACCCAGTTTTCGTAGAAACTATGTGAGGCTAACATTCCTGGACCCTGCCCTAAGTTAGATAACTAGAAGCCAGAAACTACATGAGGCTAACATTCCTGGACCCTACCCTAAGTTAGATAACTAGAAGTAAATGACCCCCCTGGGGTCGAAACTCGTGATAAGTCACATAGGAATGCTTGTGCAAAGGTCAGGCACCTGGTGTATCCCTGTTCCAATTTTATTGGCCAAAGTATAGAATGTGTTTCAAATTCATTGGTTGGGTTAATGTGCAGGCTCTGGTGCAATGACTGTAGAAATCCCATATAAACCATACCTAAAGTTGCTTGGGGGTTGGCAGCTCAGACTCGGCCTGCATGTCAGGGGAGGTGCTGTCAACCCCAGCTTGCTGGCTGAATAAAGACTTTGCTTGGATTTTCATCTCCGTGTCCGTGTGTCTTGTTCTCTGGGAAACCCAGGAGTCCTGGACCCTAACAATCCTGATCATGTTCCTCCTCTTAGGATTTACTGGCCTTTCTCAAACATTTTTTCTTGTTGTATTTAGGTAGGCATATTTTATTTATTTATTTTTTATTAAGGTATCATTTATATACTCTCTTATGAAGGTTTCATATGAAAAACATTGTGGTTACTACATTCACCCATATTATCAAGTCCTCCCCAGACTCCACCGTTGTCACTGTCAATCAGCGTAGTAAGATGCCACATGCTGGAGTCCAGCTCCCATGAGGGGTGGGTTGCCCAAAAGGATGAGGCAGAGTCAGCACATGGAGAGACAGGACGCGGAGTCAGTTGGAGGAGGTCTCTCAACAAAGTGCCAATGACATCTTTATTTATACGTTTTGAATATGTGATTATTTTTTATTTATACTTTTGATTAACAAGCATAGGTAAGCTCTTTTCTTTCTATTTCCTTCTAATCTATACATGATTAGCCAAGTGTCAGACAGGTGACCTTTTCCTGTTCCTTGACCTAAACTTTTCTTAGCAACATGTACTCTATTGTGTTTCTCATTTCTATGCAAAGTGGTTTCTAAGTAATGCATATGACCACAGAAGTGTGCGGCATGTAGCAGTGACTATGGAGTCTATCAGCTCTGGGTGAAGTACTGGTCACCCACTGACACAGTTAGCTAGGCAGGTATCATCATCTATATTTCTAATGCAATGGGTACATTTTATCCCCTCATAATATTTATTCTATTGTGCCTTCCAAACCCTTTGTTCTGCCCCCATCTACAGGCACCATGCTCATTTTCTTCACTTTATTCTGTCCTACAAATATGTTCTAGAGGTTTTAGTAAATTTATAATCAATCCAAAACCATAAATTCATATCTTTATCATACACCACTTTGTAGGGCACAGTAGGCAGCAAAATAAATTTCTCTATCTTATCCATATTTCTCTTCCCTCTGGACAGATACCACAATTTCCCTGATATATCACATGCAGGGCCCCATGGCCCCATCATTGTAGGGACCAAACAAGTTCTTACATGGTGAACAATGCAAGGGCACTCATATCACAGAAACTGTTTCCGTTTTGATCATGAATCATAAACTATAAACAATCAAGTCAGATATGATTATTCATTTGATTTTTATACTTTATATGTGAATCCCACATTTTCCTATCTTATTTCTTTAAATAAAATGCTGAACTGGTAGGTAAATGCAAGATAAAGACAGAAAGCATGATTTAGTGCAGTAAGAAGGTAAGTGTAGATGATCAGGTCTGTGCCTATAGACTAGGTACTAATCCAAGCTAGACAAAGGCAATAAAACATCCACAGGTGTTGAAAATTTCTCTCAAAACTGAGGGTGTGAGGTTCTAAGCCTCACATCTGTTGGCCCCCATTTTCTCACCTGATGGCCCCCCTGTGACTGTGCCTGTCTTAGGTTGTTCCTCCCTTGAAGAATCTTACCCGTCTCTGGCTAACCAGCCATCTTCTGGGGCCATACAGGGAGTTGTAAAGCTGATAAGTGAGAGAGAAGTAATATTCTTCAAAAAGGTTAGCTTTTCACTTCTTTGCAGATTTATGCCATGTGGCTTCTATGCCCAGCACTTGTCTTTACCACTTGGAAGAATTATGGTACTTGGTAATTTTACATATGAGGCATAAATTCTAGTAAAAGGCTGTAATTAGGAAGGAAGAAGAAAAGCTATAGAAGTAGCAGGTGGAAGAAAACATGAGAAGATTCATTAAGTGTCAGACAGGGTTATTCCATTCAGTATTCCCCCATAACTCTATTTCTCTAATTTTCCTATAAAACTCTTCATCACTAATTTCAGTAGCATTGCAAAAAAGGGGGGCATTCCCACTTAGGTGGAGATGGGGTAGTCAATGTTTGACTGACTAGCTGGAGGTTTTGGTATCCATTCAAGATCGCCATCTGGCCCCCTGCATTTTCCATTCTTCAGGAGCACTGTCCTGTAAAGCTCCCAGCAAATTTACATTCTCATCTTTTCTGTGCTGCTTATCAGAGGTTAGCTTAGCCCTTGGCAAAAATGCAAGCAAAAGCAAAGCCAATAGTACAATGGAGAATAACAAAATCAAGGTGGATAAGAGGGAGAGTCAGCTGCGAAGGCCCCTGCTTTGTGGGGGTCTTTCTCCAGCCTGAGCTTTGCTACACAGCTTGAGTAGCATGGCTCCCACCAGCCACAGAGTCACTACTTGTCTTCTCTGTGCTACACTGTCCCCCTCATGATCTCATCACGAGTACCATGTGTACCAATCATACTGCCCCTCAATTGCTGTTTCCCTCCCTCCTCACCTGTCCTCCCCCACCCCTCCTCTTTGATAACCACTAGTCCCTTCTTGGAGTCTGTGAGTCTGATGCTATTTTGTTCCTTCAGTTTTGGTTCATTGTTATAGTCCACAAATGAAGAAAATCATTTGGCACTTGTCTTTCTCTGCCTGGCTTATTTCACTGAGTATGATACCCTCTAGCTCCATCCATGTTGTTGCAAATGAGATAGGATTTGTTTTCTTCTTATGGCTGAGTAGTATTCCATTGTGTATATGTACCACCTCTTCTTTATCCATTCATCTACTGATGGACACTTAGGTTGCTTCAATTTCTTGGCTATTGTAAATAGTGCTGAGATAAATATACAGATGTCTTGTTAAATCTGGGCTCCTGCATCCTTAGGGTAAATTCCTAGGAGTGGAATTTCTGGGTCAAATGGTATTTCTATTTTTAGTTTTTGGAGGAACCTCCATATTGCTTTCCACAATGGTTGAAGTAATTTACATTCTTACCAGCAGTGCCTTCCTCAAACTTTTAAAGTTTCCACATAGATGTTTCTTTTTTTTAATGCAAACATCTTAAAGGTTTATTGAAAGATAACAGAATAACAATAAAATAAGTCTCAGATTCAAAAAAGCAAAAGGGAAAAGAATTACTTTTCTCCATTCAGGTGAGTTTCAGTAGATAATTTCTGGAATACTTGAATTGTCAATTCTTTAGAAATTAAAAATAACAAAGAAAGTTAAGCTTTTTTTCTTTTCTTTAAATTTTATTTTTACATTAGCTTTCTCTAGGAAGTGTAAATACTCTTTAACAGAGCTTAATTGACATGTACGCTGCTGTTTTTTTGTATCATTAATCTACAATTACATGAAGAACATTGTTTACTAGGCTCCCCCATTCACCAAGTCCCCCCCCCCCACATACCCCATTACAGTCACTGTCCATCAGCGTAGTAAGATGCTATAGAGTCACTACTTGTCTTTTCTGTGTTGCACAGCCCTCCCCATGATGCCTCCCCACATTATACATGCTAATCATAATGCCCCCTTTATTTTTCTTTGCCCCTATCCCTCCCTTCCCACCCCTCCTCCCCAGTCCCTTTCCCTTTCCTAACTGTTAGTCCATTCTTGGGTTCTGTGATTCTGCTGCTGTTTTGTTCCTTCAGTTTTTCTTTGTTCTTATGCTCCACATATGAGTGAAATAATTTGGTACTTGTCTTTCTCCGATGTACTCTGCTTTTAAAACTATGTTTTTAAACAAGACTAAGTGAGAATATACTAGAAAATGAACACTGTGTCATTGATGGGTGGTGGGATTCCCATGGTATGTAAATCTTCAGTTAGTATGGGCATGACAACATGCACTTTAAAAAATTATATAATTTGGCAGAGCTTTAGATTTCCAATTACTTGAAGGAAAGACAGGAACAAAACAGGGAGTTCTAGGTAGTAAAAATACCCTGCATTCTTTCTTTTCCTTTCTGTTTCCATATTTTTGTAATGTATATGTATTTTTACAGTGGGAAAGAAAACTTCATTAAAATAAAAAAATCCTATTGATTCTAACAGCAGAGTTAGAATTATATGCAAACATATGATATTGAATGCTTTGTTATTTGTCCAAAATTAAAAATTGTTTAACCTAAAGCATTATTAGCAAGATCAAAATAAGACATTCAAGAACTGAAGAAAAAAATTCTATAACCTTAAAAGCACAAGTTTCTACATCTCTAAACAATAAATTTGAAGAAAAAGTCTAATTTTTTAAAACAAACAAATGAACAAACTTTTAGCTTGTTTACTCAGGAATGCAAACAAAAATACACAAAATAAGGTCTTTAAATCAAACCTGGAGGAAATAAAACTTAACAGTTTACATATTAATTAGAAAAATTGGTTCAAGGAATTTGATGCTGGAAGTAGTCAATAACTTTGGTAATGTTAGCAGCAACAACCAGAAGAGCTACTCCAATTGTTAAAGTGATTTGTCTCCAAGTATTGGGATTATGGACTGTTTTTCCCCCTGCTTTGTGCTCTTTAGTAGTCTGAAAAATTCTGCAATAAGCAGGTAGTAATTTAGAAGTCAGATATGAATAAAGACCAACTGAAAAAACAGAATCTGCCCTATCTCCCAAAACAAAGCAGGCAGTTTATTGCCTTGAGTTTCAAAGATCAAAGTAGCTGCCTTCCTAAAATTTAAGTGAAGCAAAATATTGACATGCAGTTAAAGGGTTTCCAAGGTCCAGGGAGCCCATTCATATGCCTGAGAGACCTGTGACTGACAGCTGAGGGACCACCAATGGCAAATTGAATTTCTAGGTCACTGCCTGCCTTCATGGCTCTCCGATGTGCACAGAACATGAGGGGAGACACACCAAGTGCTGCACGGACATACGAATGATAATCATTCTTGGAGGTTCAATAGAGTATCTGTTGCTCTAGTGGAAAACTATTTACAAAGTGCTCCAAGACTTGCACATCCAGCTTACAGGTTTGTTTTGCTTTTCACTAACAACACTAATAGGTGTTCTTTACTTCTTACATGAGATAAGTAAAATAAAATTATAATTTTTGATTTAGGTCCCTCTGGCTGTACAACATGCAGAAAAGACTAGGTCATTCACTTCCATTCCTAAGGGAATAAGACTGAACCATGGTAAGGATCCTTCCTGTACATGAGAAACACTGAAGAGAGGGATGAATGCATTTGCAATAACAAATACAGATGAAGAGGAGCAGGTAAGGAAAGTATTTCCTCTGTATAAAAAGATGTCTTTTTTTTGGAGAAGAAAATTAGGTATGTATATATCCTGTTTATCTTGTTGAATGTGTACTTACAATGCAATCAGTCATTCACAATCAGTTTATTTATTTTTAATTATTTAATTTTATGGTATCATTAATATCCACTTACATGAACAACATTGTGGTTACTAGATTCCCCCAATTATCAAGTCCCCACCACATACCCCATTACAGTCACTGTCCAGCAGTGTAGTAAGATGCTATAGAATCAATACTTGTCTTCTCTGTGCTATACTGCCTTCCCTGAGACCCCCCTACATTATGTGTGCTAATCATAATGCCCCTTTCCCCCTTTTTTCCTCCCTTACTACCCATCCTCCCCAGTCCCTTTCCCTTTGGTAACTCTTAGCCCATTCTTGGGTTCTGTGAGTCTGCTGCTGTTTTGTTCCTTCAGTTTTTGCTTTCTTCTAATACTCCACAGATGAGTGAAATCATTTGATACTTGTCTTTCTCTGCCTGGCTGATTTCACTGAGCATAATACCCTCTAGCTCCATCCATGTTGTTGCAAATGGTAGGACTTGTTTTCTTCTTAAGGCTGAATAATATTCCATTGTGTATATGTAACACATCTTCTTTATTCATTCATCCACTGATGGACACTTAGTTTGCATCCATTTCTTGGCTATTGTAAATAGTGCTGTGATAAACATAGGAGTGCATATGTCTTTTTCAAACTGGGCTGCTGCATTCTTGGGGTAAATTCCTAGGAGTGAAATTCTTGGGTCAAATGGTATTTCTATTTTGAGATTTTAAGTAACTTCCATACTGCTTTCCACAATGGTTGAAATAATATACATTCTCACCAGCAGTATAAGAAGGTTTCACTTTCTCCACATGCTTGCCAGCATTTGTTGTTGTTTGTCTTTTGGATGGTGGTGATCCTTACTGGTGTGAAGTGATATCTCATTGTGGTTTTAATTTGCATTTCTCTGATGATTAGTGATGTGGAGCTTCTTCTCATGTGCCTGTTTGCCATCTGAATTTCTTCCTTGGAGAAGTATCTGTTCAGATCCTCTGCCCACTTTTAATTGTATTATTTGCTTTCTGTTTGTTGAGGTACATGAGCTCTTTATGTATTTTGGATGTCAATCCTTTATCAGCTATATCATTTATGAATATATTCTCCCATACTGCAGGATGCCTTTTTGCTCTGTTGATAATGTCCTTTGTTGTACAGAAGCTTTTCAGCTTGATATAATCCCACTTGTTCATCTTTGCTTTTGTTTCCTTTGCCCAGGGGGATATGTTCATGCAGAAGTTGCTCATGTTTATGTCCAAGAGATTTTTGCTTATGTTTTTTTTTCTAAGAGTTTTACGGTTTCATGACTTACATTCAGGTCTTTCATCCATTTTGAGTTTACTCTTTTGTATGGAGTTAGACAGTAATCCAGTTTCATTCTCTTACATGTAGCTGTCCAGTTTTGCCAATACCAGCTGTTGAAGATGCTGTCTTTTCCCCATTGTATATCCATGGCTCCTTTATGGTATATTAATTGACCATATATACTTAGCTTAATATCTGGACTCTCTATTCAATTCCACGGGTTTATTGGTCTGTTCTTGGGCCAGTACCAAATTGTCTTGATTACTGTGGCTTTGTAGTAGAGCTTGAAGTTGAGAAGCAAGATACCCTTGCTTTATTCTTCCTTCTCAGGATTGCTTTGGCTATTCGGGGTCTTTTGTGTTTCCATATAAATTTTAGAACTATTTGTTCCAGTTCATTGAAGAATGCTGTTGGTATTTTGATAGGGATTGCATTGAATCTATAGATTGCTTTAGGCAGGACAGCCATTTTGACAATATTATTTCTTCCTATCCATGAGTTTGGGATGTATTTCCATTTATTGGTATCTTCTTTAATTTCTCTCATTAGTATCTTGTAGTTTTCATGGTCTTTCACTTCCTTTGTTAGGTTTATCCTAGGTATTTTATTCTTTTTGATGCAATTGTGAATGGAATTGTTTTCCTGATTTCTCTTTCTGCTTGTTCATCATTAGTGTGTAGGAATGCAAGATTTCTGCATATTGATTTTGTATCCTGCAACTTTGCTGAATTCAGATATTAGATAAAGTAGTTTTGGAGTGGATTCTTTAGGGCTTTTTATGTACAATATCATGCCATCTGCAAACAGTGACAGTTTGACTTCTTCCTTACTAATCTGGATGCCTTTTATTTCTTTGTGTTGTCTGATTGCCACGGCTAGGACCTCCAGTACTACGTTGAATAAAAGTGGGGAGAGTGGGCATCTTTGTCTTGTTCCTGATCTTAGATGAAAAGCTTTCAGCTTCTCACTATTAAGTATGATGTTGGCTGTGGGTGTGTCATATATGGCCTTTATTATGTTGAGGTACTTACTCTCTATACTCATTTTGTTGAGTTTTTATCATGAAGGGATGTTGCATTTTGTCGAGTTCTTTTTCAGCATCTATGGAAATGATCATGTGGTTTTTTTCCTTCTTTTTGTTTATGTGGTGAATGCTGTTGATGGATTTTTCAAATGTTGTATCACCATTGCATTCCTGGTATGAATCCCATTTGATCGTGGTGTATGATCCTCCTGATGTATTTTCGGATTTGGTTTGTTAAGACTTTGTTGAGTATTTTTGCATCTATGTTCATCAGGGATATTGGTCTGTAGTTTTCTTTTTTTCCTGGTGTCTTTTGCCTGTTTTTGGTGTTTGAGTAATGCTGGCTTCATAGAATGAATTTGGAAGTATTCCCTTCTCTTCTATTTTTTCAAAAACTTTAAGGAGAATGGATATTACCTCTTCTCTAAATGTCTGCTAAATTCAGCAATGAATCCATCTGGTCCAGGTGTTTTGTTCTTGGGTTGTTTTTGATTACCGATTCAATTTCATTGCTGGTAATTGATCTGTTTAGATTTTCTGTTTCTTCCTGGGTCAGTCTTGGAATGTTGTGTTTTTCTAGAAAGTTGTCCTTTTCTTCTAGGTTATCGAGTATGTTAGAATATAGATTTTCATAGTATTGTCTAGTAATTGTTTGTATTTCTGTGGTGTCTGTCATGATCTTTCCTTTCTCATTTCTGATTCTGTTTACATGTTTAGATTATCTTTTTTCTTAATAAGACTGTCTAGGGGTTTATCTATATTGTTAATTTTCTCAAAGAGCAGCTCTTGGTTTCATTAATTTTTTTCTATTGTTTTATTCTTCTCACTTTTATTTGTTTCTCCTCTGATCTTTATCATGTCCCTTCTTCTGCTGACTTTGGGCATTTGTTCTTCTTTTACAACTTTCAATAATTGTGAATTTAGACTATTCATTTGGGATTTTTCTTCCTTCTTTGAATAGGCCTGGATTGCTATATACGTCCCTCTTAGCAGTGCCTTCACTGCATCCCACAGAATTTGGGGTCTTGTGCTGTTGTCATTTGTCACCATATATTGCTTGATCTTTGTTTTAATTTCATCATTATTCATTGTTTACTTAGGTGCATGTTGTTAAGCTTCTATATGTTTGTGAGCCTTTATTTTCTTTGTACAATTTATTTCTAGTTTTATACCCTTGTGATCTGGGAAGTTGGTTGGTAAAATTTCAATCTTTTTGAATTTACTGAGGCTCTTTCTGTGGCCTAATATGTGGTCTATTTTGGAAAATGTTCCATCTGCATTTGAGAAGAATGTGTATCCTGCTGCTTTTAGGTGGAGAGTTCTTTAGATGTCTGTTAGATCCATCTTTTCCAATGTGTTGTTCAATGCCTCTGTCTTATTACTTATTTTCTGTCTGGTTGATCTGTCCTTTGGAGTGAGTGGAGTGTTGAAGTCTCCTAGAATGAATGCATTACATTCTATTTCCCTCTTTAATTCTGTTAGTATTTGTTTCACATATGCAGGTGGTCCTGTCTTGGGTACATATTTATAATGGTTATATTGTTTTGTTGGATTGACCCCTTTATCGCTATGTAATGTCCTTCTTTGTCTCTTGTTACTTTCTTTGTTTTGAAGTCTATTTTGTCTGATAGAAGTACTTCAACACCTGCTTTATTCTCCCTATTAGTTGTATGAAATATCTTTTTCCATCCCTTCACTTTTAGTGTGTGTATGTCTTTGGGTTTGAAGTGAATCTCTTGTGGGTAGCATATAGTTGGGTTTTGTTTTTTTATCCATTCTGTGACTCTCTGTCTTTTGATTGGTGCATTCAGTCCATTTACATTTAGGGTGATTATTGATAGGTATGTACTTATTGCCATTGCAGGCTTTGGATTTGTGGTTACTGAAGTTTCAAGGTTAACTTCTTTATTATCTAAGAGTCTAACTTAACTCACTTAGTATGTTATTACAAACACAATCTAAAGGTCCTTTTTCTCCCCTCCTTTTCTTTCTCCTCCATTCTTTCTATATTAGGTATCATATTCTGAACCATTTATCTATCCCTTTTTATTACCTCTGGTGACAGCTGTTTAACCTTAGAAACACTTCCATCTATAGCAATCCCTCCAAAATACACTGTAGAGATGGTTTGTGGGAGCTAAATTCTTTTAGCTTTTGCCTATCTGGAAATTGTTTAATCCCTCCTTCAAATTTAAATGATAATGTTGCTGGATAAAGTAATCTTGTTTTGAGGCTCTTCTGCTTCATTGTAATAAATATATCATGCCACTCCCTTCTGGCCTGTAAGATTTCTGCTGAGAAGTCTGATGATAGCCTGATGGATTTTCCTTTGTATTTGACCTTATTTCTCTCTCTGGCTGCTTTTAATAGTCTGTTCTTATCCTTGATCTTTGCATTTTACTTATTATATATCTTTGTGTTGTCCTCCTTGGGTCCCTGTGTTGGGAGATCTGTGCACCTCTATGGCCTGAGAGACTATCTCCTTGCTCAGATTGGGGAAGTTTTCAGCAATTACTTCCTCAAAGACACTTTCTATATCTTTTTCTCTCTTCTTCTTCTGGTACTCCTATAATGTGAATATTTTTCC